GGTTTACTATCCCCCCCCCTGATTTTATGGTTTGTACCCCCTTTCCCGAAGCTTTGTAATAGTGTAGCACCTTTACTTTCCGTAATTTATTGCTTTCCTTATTACTGCTAGTAATTAGGGCATGTATGGCAAGATCTAAAACCAACGCTAGATAACCCTAAATACAAGATAAATAATCCAATTGAATCATTTTTCACACACTCACCTATATTCAAAAATGCCATGACTTTATGAATTTATAACTCAAAATATAAGCACTTCTAGGACTTGATCAGCAAAGCAAAGTTGTAGATATCATCAAGATCTACAGCTTTCATGTTGAAAGTTTCCTTTGAATCATCTTGCATCTTGGTGAAAGAATGACATGAAGTAATGAAATTATCATGTATAAAAAATACTTAGAAAAATTTCTAAGTCTTGAAAAGTTTGATTTTTCACATTGACTTTTGAATTTCTTGATTTCTTGATGATCAAGCTTTGTATTTTGAATGTCTTAATGAATTATGATCTCTGAAATCAAATTTTGACCAAAAAGTCAAAGTTTGACTTTTGGTGTATCAGTTGACTTTTCATCAGTTGACCAAATTTCAGCTATCAATCCACTGATCTTGAGAAATGATTTAAGCCATGGAATTGGTTCAACATGTTATATTTGAGTCTTTAAGATTATTCTTCAAGCCATTAAGTCATGTATTAGGTCAAAAATCAAATTAGCCATTCTCAGTTAAAACCCTAATTTATAGTCTCACTATTTCGGAGGTGATTTGATCTAATCAATCCTTGTGCAAGTTAGAGCTATTTGAAGCTCTTGTGATAAATGTATTAAGAAAAGAGAGGGAAAATTTTGGGGTACAACACATTCGAATAAACACAGTCATGTCCCTCGAACGTGGGGACGCCTTAGCAAAGACCCTCAGTTAAAAATATCGCAGTCCCTCGATGACCCTTATGATGTTGCCTTCGGTAAGCAATCTTATTCCGTTATGATAAATTGCTAAAGTGCCCATACAATTTGACTTTATGACTGTACAATGATCCACGTATGTCCCTTCACATCCAACGATAGGGCTTCCTACTAACTAAGGGTAAGATAGCACTATCTAAGGAGGAGGAAAATAACACGAAAGATATTTGAGTAGGTAGATAGCTCATAATCGCTTGCTCACAAAAAATATCTTTTTCACAAACACTCTTCTGAAATATTTTCAAAAAGAAAACACTTTGTACGCATTCTTAACTTATACAAGAATCATTACAAAGTTGCCTTACTATTGACATTTTCAAAATATTTTCAAACATGCACAACATAAAACAATTTTCAAAACAAAGTGAGCTAAGGGATTAAGAGTCAGTAGATAACTACAGATGAAAAGGGTACTAACACCTTCCCTTTTCATAACCTACCCCCCCCCCCCCCCCCCGAACTCAAAATTCTCGAAGGCCTTTCCTGTTCTTTCACCCTTTCCTTTATTGGATAAAATAAAAGTCGGTGGCGACTCTAGCTATCTGCACATTTGCGATAAAATGCAAAATAAGTCAGTTCTCCCACTATATTACACATACGAAAGGATTGAAACTTTCCACAATCGCACCAATAAGATGTCAATATAACCCTATACTCTTGTCTTGGAAGCCCCTCATTGTGGTCGATTGTCTCTTTGACAATGAAGTTATGGCTATGTCAGTCGAACCTTATAACAAGATGAGTGTTGGCTTTGGCACCTTCTGCCTTAATATATTTCATGCAACTTTCACTCCATAGTTGTCCCGATTGTAAGACCGCATTCCATATTTCAGCTCTTTTTCCAAACAAAGAAGCCATCCTAAAATATGTTAATTTCACCAAAGCAGTTACTGGGAGGTTTCGTATGCCTTTGAATACACCGTTAATTGATTCGATAAGATTTGTTGTCATGTGGCCCCATCATTATCCATTGTTGTATGACCTTGTCCATTTCTCCACTAGAATATTATCAATCCACCTACCTGCATCTGGATTTAACAATCTAATCTCGTTACAGTAGTGTTTGAATAAAGGTTGTGTTAATGCATATCCCGCGTTCATAACTATTTTCCTAAGAGACTTGTCTTTGATTTCCCTCGTGAAATTTTGTATGATATGTCTAATATAGTAGACATGCGTAGAAGGAGGGTCATGCTAACCATTTGTAGGATTATTGTTTGCACTCTCAATAGATGCATGTCTGTCGAAGATCAAACATAGACTAGGATGTGGAGCCACATGTGTTCAGAGATTCTTGAGAAAGAAACTCCAAGCACCACTAGTCTCTCCCTCGACTAGAGCAAAGACAATTGGGAAAATGTTGTTATTGCCATCTTGTGCAACTTCCATCAGTAGCATGCCTTTGTATTTCCCGTACAACCATGTTCATCTATTTGAATAATAGGTTTGCAGGACACAAACCCTGTGATGCAAGGTTGAAAAGCCCATAACAGTCGACTGAATATTCCATTTCCATTGACAGAAGTACCATCTGGGGCATACACCGACAATGTTTCCATAATATAAATAGTTCCAGGAGAATACGTCTGAAGTGCATGCAAGTAGCGCGGTAGTTCTTTATATGACTCCTCCTAGTTTCCATATACCCTTTTAATCGCCTTGGTCTTTGCTAACCACACCTTTCTGTATGACAAAGTATAATTGTATATTGTAGTCATGTGAGAGATTATGGTTTTCACCTTCAAGGATAAATCATTATTAACGAGATGTAAGATTTATTGACATATTAGATCATAATTTAGTTTATGATGATCTTGTGATTGAGTAGAATTAAAGCACGTGTGGGTGGACATAGAACCTATCACCCAACAATCACCTCTCAACTTGTATGATATAGTGAGCCTGAACATACAATCTGGGTGAACACACTTGAGCTTGTACTTTTCTGGATTTACCCGATCTACCTTAAAATCGACAGAGTTTAACATGTGGAACTTTTTTATAACTCGCATACAATCTTCTCTTGAACGAAATTTGTCTTTCTCTTTTAAATTTTCATCTGACTGCATATACAGGTTGAAAAAAACACCTGATGACGGTTCATCTCCGTCCATGTTAAAGTTTTTATAAAATTATTATTAAATTAGTCATCTTATGGACTCTTACACTATTTACATTTTGAATTTAGGATACTAAAAGATTTAGAATTCGCTCACACAACTACATTACTCCCGACCCGTTGATCATGTCCTATCTCGAATATGTCGATTTTGAAAAGGTTATAAAAAATCTCAAACTGCACAATTGATTCCAAGTTTATACTTGCAATGTTGGAAAGATGAAGACCCGAGACACACACATTTCATCTACCAATAAGTGAATGTACCATCACACTAGAGGATGTGTACATGTTATTAGGTCTCCCTATCGATGGTAAGATAGTGAATGAGTTGGTTTAACAACCCAATTCTTTATGCAAGGAATTGTTGGGCAAATATATGGTAGAAGGTAGTGGTGCTAGGGGCCAAGGTATATTACTAACCTAACTTAAAAAACATTATACGACTCTTGAGTTAAATGAAAATTCGTCTGAGCTAGCAAGAACAATTAAAGCTAGAAATTATATTATGATACTATTTGGAAGCTTGTTATTTCCTGAAAGTACAGGGAATAATGTAAATTTTATGTATTTAAGTTTGCTTGGGAACTTTGAAAAAATAAGAAAGTATAGTTGAGGTTCTGTTGTTTTAGCCCATCTATACAGTTCTTTGTGTAAAAACATAACAAAAGACAAATGTACTTTTTATTGATGCACTTTCTTACTCCAAGCATGAGGTTGGTGGAGAATGAAGTCCCTAAACCCCGTCAACAATAATGCATTCATTTTCCCATACGCAACAAAGTAAGTCAAGAACTTAAATAATTTATTATTCATCCTTTCGTCAAATAAATGTATAAAATTAACTATTTTTTTAGTCCTTTAGGTATTGTGTAACGGGTATGGATTACGACAAGAATCCAAGGTTCAATGTCGCTCTATATCATAATCTATTGGATCACCTTGGTCCGGATGATGTACGTGGTACCTTTGAACTTTTTTAATTTTAAATGATTTATTTTTTACGCTTTCATTATTCTTATTAATTTTTATCCACAGTTTATCTGGAAACTATATTTGGTTTGGACTATGAACCCAACCCCGAGGATGCAACCGTTTGGACTGCAAAGACTTCAATCATACGGTTTAACATTGTGGAGATGCACCAAAGCGACTGTGTCAAGATGCAGTTTGGAATGCATCAAGAGATACCATATGATCCAACTTGTTTGTCACCTTGGCATCTCAAAAGGGTCGACACCCCAATGGGGTCTTACTAATTGGAAAGATTTTGCTCCATTGTGTAAAATGTGGTATAGGCGTCACCAATATATCTTACAATTTCCTATTTTCCTCAACTACAATAACATGCGACACACAAATCAATATTTTGATTGGTACAAATCAATTACTAACCCAGAAATGCACGTGTCTCGCCCGAGGTATTTGATCGACCCACGAACACAATGGGCACAACCCTCAAATCCCTAACAACAAACCCAACACACATCAATCTTCCACCAAACACCACGACGATACAAATCCACAAACACCCAACCACAATCAGCACCTCAATACCAATATACCCATATACCCCACACCCAACCCCAATCCCAATCTCAATACCAAAAAACCCACATGCCCCACATACAATTTCAATATTCTGAACATCCCGATGTGGGGCCCTCATCATCCCACCTTAGCCTAGATCAAGACTTTCTTGAAGAATATGACCCAACCGAACCAACTTACCATCAATCACCATATCACCATAGCACCCAACAATCTCAATACCAAACACCCCATGATTCATTTCCTTTTTACCCTCTTACTCAGGCGACCAATGCTATCGACTATCCATGGAACCCCACCCCCCACCAAGACGACTAAACTTTAAGGGCATAGGTAACCGGTTGTACTAGAGCAGATCTTCCAGATATGGTGATCTGATAGATTTCATGGATCTTGAACGCATTGACTTCGTTGGGTCATCGATCCAACCGCAACAGGAAAATCGACGAAACCCACCACGAGATAGGCGAGGACGCGAGTGCGGAATCACGGGTCGTTACCGAGTTCCGGGGGACAACAAAATAATATACAACAATTTTTTCCATTATGTAATTGTTCATTTGTTATTGAAAAATCAAAGTTTCATTAAGTTATATCGTTTACTTATTGTTTCTTATTTAAAATAAAAAACAAAAAAAAATTGAGAGTTAAAAGCACTTAAGCGCTATCTGAATGGCTTAGGGCAAACACCTTGCACCTATGCGCCATCTCACTTGGCATCTCTATATAAAAATAAAGAGGATACACCATCTGAGTTAGCTCCTCTGTTCAAGTGTTTTCTAGAACATAATTATTTGCATAATTTTTCCTAAAACATAATTATATATATTTTTTCAATACTTTGTTATTGTTAAAAAAAAATTGCATACTTATCTGTCAAAATGACTCATTCTAATAAGATGACATATTCCAATTAATTTCTTTTAAAAATATTTATGAAATGTGTAGTGGATATAGTCAAATGTGTAGTGGATATAGTCAAAATAATATATATGTAAGTTTTGAAAGAAAAAAACGAAACATATCCAGTTTGTTGAGATATTTATGCGAATAAATCTCTTCCAATTTAAGCTCTTGATTCAAATCCAATAATTTTATTGTTCATTGTGATTCTTTCATAAATTAGTCTCTATATTTTCATAAAATATTCAATTTTTATTCAAAATTTGTTATGCAAAAAAAAATATTAAAAAAAAAAATGAAATTGACAAATAGAAATTTGATTGATGGTAAAATAAAATTGGATAGAAATCACTTCCCCATGTAACTGTACTGCAAAAAAATTCAAATGAACAGAATTAAATAATTAATTAATAAAATATTATTTTATATGTAGTTTTTTTTTTTAATGAACTTTATATGTAGTTTTTTTTTTAATGAACTTTATATGTAGTTATAACTATTAATAAATTAATTGACACCTTATACTATAAACTATTTTTGATTGATGATATAAAATAAAATAAAATAATATTAAACATAATATAAGAGTGGTGTGCATGGGTGTCACGTAAGTAAAGAAACAGTCTCAAAAACTGCATTTTTTTTGTTTTTGAAATGTGTTGTTACCGTTTGTTTAGTTGCTGTTTTGTTTTTTCTAACTTATCGGATTAAGTTAAACTAATACGTGGTTAGTTCTAAAACAAAACATTGTTATTTTATTTTTTGGGCTTAGGCCCTATTTCTTCCAAAAAAAATAAAATAAAATAAAAACATTATTATTTTAATGTGATTCACTGTTTAAATAATTACCACTCCAAGAGACCCTGTACCTTAGTCATCTTTTCATGCTCCTCCTATACTCAACAAGACTGCTTTTTCTAGGTATGTCTTATATTTATATACTTATTCATATTTCATCTGATTCAAACCATTAACTATTTCATGAGGTTTGTATCTTCAATTATTCTACTTTTATTTTCTCTACACTTTGTGCTGTTGTTTTTAACAGTATTAACAAGTTTTAACCCTATTTAATGGTGGAGATAGTAAAGAGATTTTATATGATAAAGGAATCATACTTTTCTTGTGATTTCTTTTGTTACAAAAAGAAACTTTAGTTGTGATTTGATTACAAGTTTTCGTGTTAAGTTAATATATTTAAAATATTTGAAACGTGTATTCTCTTTCTCTTAATCATCTTAATATTAAGTATTAGACCCTCTAGGGTTTTTTTTAGTGTAATTTGATGTAGACTATTAGATTAAGAGAAGATTTAAGTTTAACTACAATTTAATTATAAAAAATTAATTAAAACATTTATAGTTTAGTTATGAAGAATCTATGAAATTTTATTTAATCATAATTTAATCCATATATTTGAAATTTTATGCAGTAATTGATTTTCACTCCCTAAAAAGGAATGAGAAGATCTAAAAAAATGTATTTTGCAATATTGAAGAGAAATATCAGATGAAGATTGAATTTTGCTCTCTTACATCCAAAATATATTTAATCAAACAAGAGTGATTCATATATTAGTATTCATAAAACCAAACCCTATTTTTCTTAAATAAAACATTAGGTTATGTTTAAAGATTTTGTAAATAAAAAGAATGGAAAAATCAATCTGATTAGGTTAATAAATTGCTGATAATAACTTTATGATTCAATCTCTTTACCAATTAATTACTATCATAACTAAAGTCAATTTCTAAGTTCTTTCAACTTTATCAGAGATTCTGAATTCAATTGTTATACTAAAAAAATATAGTTAATGTATTTAATCAATATTAGATCACAATTATGAATTATTTAAAAAAATTAAAAAATCAAATTTTATTCATATTAATGATTGAAAGGTGTAATATTGATGTTTGTTCATTAAATTTTATGCTTATTTCTTTACAGGATGCAAGAAAATAACAACAACAACAGCGTGACGCGTCAAGCATGTTCAGCATGCAAACACCAAAGAAAAAAATGCAGTGACGGCTGCATATTAGCACCCTATTTTCCATCAAACAAAAGCAAAGAATTTCAAGCAGTTCACAAAGTTTTTGGAGTAAGCAACGTAACAAAAATGGTAACGGGTTGTGAAGAAGCAGATAGAAAAAAAGTTGTGGAATCATTGATTTGGGAAGCATTTTGTAGACAAAAAGATCCTACAAATGGTTCTCTTGGAGTATATAAAAGAGTTTACAACGAGTATAGAAAAGTGTTTGAAGAACTTAGAATGTTGAAAGATCAAAATCAATTATTGCAAATGCAAAGTAATCAAGGTTTAATACCAACTAAACCAATAAGTGATTCTAATGGAATGGATTTTCATCCTCTTCTTCATCATCAGAATAATGGTGGTGGTATTATGGATTATAATACTTTTTGTTCAAGTTATTTACAAGATTATGAGGGTTTGAGGAGTGAAGTTCCTACTATTCCAATTCAGCAACACTCATCACAGAATTTGAGACAGGTACTAAACAACTTATAGAAGTTTTTATGTGCTTTAATTATTATTTTCCTTTTTTAGTGAGCTGTTCAAGATGGTTGCAAGTTTCTTACTTACTATTTTAAAAAGTCAAATTTAAAAAACAACAATGTTTTTTTAGTGAAATGAGGTTGAATTTGTTTTTTTTACCTAATTTTAAATCAATTTTCACATAAATATCAAAATTAAGAAAAATAGGTTTTATGGTTCTTATTAAATATTTCATTTTATAAATATTATTTAAAAACTAAATGTTTTTAATCAAATAGGTTGGACTTGTTTTTTTTTTTAGACCTAATTCTAAAACCGTTTCCACTTAAATATCAAAATCACAAAAATAGATTTTATGGTTTTTTTTGTTGTTTTACTTAATTTATTTTTTGTTAACCTCCAATTTTTAAGTGTTAATAATTTAGAGTTTACTTTCTTAAGTAAAATTTGAGTGGGTCAATGTTTTAAAACTCGATTGGATTGGTTGGTAAGATTAGTTAGATTAGAATCACATGATAGAGTAGACCAAGAAAAAAATTAGGAGTATTAAAATGAATTAGGTCGGACATGTCTATTTTGACTGTACTTTTTATGGGATAAATCAAAGTTTTAGATATATATTCTCTAATATAATATGTCTGATCTGTATTCTATTTTTTTGGATTTTTATTGGCACAGACATTAATATGAAAATTAGTAATTTTTAGACTTAAAATGTGCGATATCTGCAAGCCTGTCTCATCTCTCAGTCACTTTTTTTATATAGTGAGACAAGATTTTATACTCACATCCTCAACAAAGTCCACCTGTTTATTTTTTTTTTTTAGATTTTTGCATAACTAAAAAAACCACATCATTTTGAACGGAGAGTAAAAAAAAAAACAAAAAAAACATTTCCTCCTAAAAAAATCTTTTTAATTTATTATATTGTATTGTTATAACTTATTTAAATTTGTGTTATTTTGAGTAAATATAAAATTTATTATATTTTACAATTGTGTTACATTTTAATTTTTAAAAATATTTGAAACTTTTATTATTGTTGGAAGTTAAATTTTTATCTAAGATTGTTACCTAACTTATTTGCATGAAAATTTTGAAAAATGTAATAGTATTCTTCTATAGATTTTATAGTAACAAAGTTCAGGTAAAAAAAAATTATTTCATAAAATATTTTTAATTTTTAATTTATGTAAATTAAATTAATATCCATGCGATCTAAGTAATTAAAAATCTGTTGACCCAATTAAAAACCCATTAATCCAATAATTTAACCTGGTCTGGTTTAGATTTTAAAACCTTGATGAAAATGCTCCATCCAAAATTCAAACTAGAGTAGTGCACTATAAAAAGAAATTTATCAAACAAAAATGTTTGCTGGAAATTCTTCAACAAACACTTTTCAATGCTCTCTTTTTCTTTTACTAACTATACTCTTGATTTAAACACTGTTTATTTTCTCATACTACCATATAAATATGTGTGTATTACATTACAATATCAGGATCAATATTTAAGAAATGTTAAAAACCTCAATTTTGTCTACATAAATATTCAAATTGATAGACTATACATAAATATAACACACAAATTTAATATTTTATTAGGTAAATTTTGTGTAACATTTAATGTACTGTCATTTTTCTGTTTCGATATTTTAGGTGATGAATTCAATCAGTGAACAATGGCAGCAGGTGGGAGCAGGCACTAGGTCTGGCAATCATCATTCACTGTGAAGAAAGTTTCATATTTGGATTTGAAATTCCAAAACTAAGAAATGAGCTTTTTTAGATTTTTCAGCATTATTTTTAATATTATAAAGATGTTTCTTTTTTAAGTTAAAGATTTTATTTTCTAGAGAACATATATATGCATTAGTTTGCATATGAGATGGTGACACCTTTTTCTTTCTCTCCTGGTTTTTATATTTTCTATTGTAAGTAGAAGGGATAAATTATGGTTTATCATTCGATTTTAACAAAGTTCTTGTTAAATTTTTGCCAATTTTTGCGCCAAATAATAATTTGAGGATTGGTTTGATGGTATATAGAATAAAATGGTTGATCAAAAGTAATACACATGTTATTTCATATTGAGAGAATGAGACTGAGTATACCATAAAGAAAAAGATGATTTGACCTGAATAAATAAATTAATATTATTTTCCTGAATAAATAAAATTTAATATTATTTTCATTCACCTCGTTTACATCATATTCTCATATTTCTGTTTACTATATTCATTCATTTACATCATATTTTCAATAATATTTCTATTTACTATATTCATTTTGCATTATAGTATCAAAGTTGTATATGATTGTAAGAGTTCATCTTAATCTTGTCTCATCAAACTTAAAATTTTCACTAGCTTTAGTTGTTTCCTTGATGTCATGAAATGATCAGTGAATCAGATACAAAAATCTCTTCATGAATTGATGTATTCATTATATAAGTCAGATAAATAAGCCATCACTTATGGATTTAAGATGAGGATGAACAATTTATATTTCTACAAATCTCTTACACCTCAAATTTTTTGGAAGATAACTATGAGTTCCATATGTTCATTTGGGTCAGTGGTTCTGTCCTATCTCTCAATTCCTGTCAGTTTTTAGAATTCTATGCAGATGAGGTACTCATTTATTCTTATAATGAAGTATTTTACGCTAGAAAAATCTATGTAAGCATCTCCATGATCAAATGGCAAGGAGAATGAGATATACATGTGGTAATGATGACAGTGGCACAAATGTCCCCAAGGCACATTTATGAATGTGAATGCCTATGTAGTATAAGGAAATGAGTTCTACATCTTCTATGATTGTGTAACACGGGGGTAATGATATAATTTCGCCTAATCTTCATTGTACTATGCAACTACTTCACCATTTACCTGAATCAAACCTTTCATTGGCCTCATGGGTTCTAGTGAGACTCATTGGCTCATATCGATAGCTTTAATCCTTTGAAACTTTTTTTTATATAGTTCTAAAGTCATTGACTGCCTTTGAACGACCATCAACAAACCCATTCACTACGCCAAAAAAGACCTACGAAAGCGCTTTTTTTGGCCTTTAAAAGCACTTAAAAGCGCTCTCTAAGGTGGCGCTGCTATAGGTTTTAGCAGCGCTTTTTGTTTAATGAAAAGCGCTTTCGTAGGTCTACTTATGACAACGCTTTTTCTAAAAAGCGCTCTCTTAAGTACCCTTATGGCAGCGCTTTTTCTAAAAAGCGCTCTCTTAAGTACCCTTATGGCAGCGCTTTTTCTAAAAAGCGCTCTCTTAAGTAGGCTTTTGGCAGCGCTTTTTCTAAAAAGCGCTCTCTTAAGTAGGCTTTTGGCAGCGCTTTTTTATGAAAAAACGCTTTCATTGGTGGCGCTTTTTTTGGAAAAAAGCTTTCATAGGTTGTCTTTTAGCAGCGCTTTTTCTTGAAAAAGTGTTGTCATATGTTTACCTTAGACAGCGCTTTATGTAAAAAAGCGCTGTCATAGGGTGTTTTTTTTTAGAGGTATAATTTATATAATTCATATACCTGCATTGTTTGCAGCATATTATTTATATAAACCAGTTGCCATAACCTGTAATTCATAAAAAGCGGTAATGCATTTTTGTATACCAAATTCATATACCAAAATTTATATACACCATTTTTGTATCTCAAATTATATATAAACCATTGCTATCAGTATTGTAACTCAAAATCAGTCTTACAAAATCAACCCTAACAACAACTAAATCAGTCCTTATATTATTCTCTGCTCAATAAAATATTGACACAACTCCTCTTTGGTTTCTTCCAACTGAAGTTTCGTGTAATATGCACATTTGTACTCATCGAAGTACTACATAACAAAACATAATATGCATGATTTAGTTAAAAGTAAAAAATTATATGAAATATCCGAGAAATAATAAAACAAATCCTAAGTTATAAATTCATACCGTGACTGGAATCTCTATTTGATTCAGTTGAATGATTTCTTTGATAAACCGCATAACGAAGTATCCGCAATCTATACCGTTTTGTTGTTGAGGACACTACATAGAAAAACAAATAAGAATATATAGTTGTATTGTTTTATCAAATAGCGTAAATATTATAAGCAAAATAGTGGAAATTAATATACCTGCACTTTGATCCAATTAATGTTGTTTGATTTAGACCGTCGTACCCGAGCTTCTCTTTGACACCGGAATACTTGTATCGCTCTAACAAAATAAAAATATATATTTAGAACAATGTCACAGAAATAATTAAATACATAAATACACACAAATATTTAGAATAATCTCACTTACGTATCAATCATTAACTTCATATCCGGATAATTTGTCCAATCACCGTCAACCGAATTCAGATAATAGACCACTTCTTTTATAGGATCGATAGCAACCAACAACCAGTGACGTCTATAAATTAAAACAACAGTTTAGAAGAAATTTTTCTACGCAAAAATTACAAATATTAAAATGAACTTAGAATGAAAATCTAACCCTGTAGGAATAGTATTATATGCCCAAAGATATAAGCTTTCTGTACTGCCAGTTGCCATGAATCTTTCGACTAAGTGCTCTCTTACTGAATCTGGTTCCCTACCAATTGTCGCTCCGCTGACACGGGAGGAAGACACAAAATGGAATCTGTTTGACAATTGATTCTCGCGCATCAATTTGTCATATAACAGCCTTAAATAAAAACATAATTAATATTAGAGTATATTCATTGAAAATGTTTAAAAAAGATTTCAGCTAATTACATAATATAAAGATGGGGTTACCGGATGTATGCGTGCATAATACTGATGCCCAATTCTTTATGACGGAAAATCTGTTCCACATCCTCATGTCCAATTATTTCGGTGCAAGAAAAACCAAAGATACCTTGATCCATATCCATTTGACGAATACCACCATCCATCAAATTTGTTGTTCCCACTATTGTTTCAAGACACTGCCGGTATCGAGGGAAAAATCTAGTAGGCACCCTTTTCTTGGGTGGTACGCCAACGATTTTCTGGCTCACTTGTTGTGACCCTTGAAAAGGTACCTAAAAATCATATAAACTCAATTAAATTATAAAATTATGCAGTTTTTTATTCGGATCATATAATTAACACTTTAAACGTACCTCTTTTGGTGATACGTCAGACTCGTCGTGCCGCAAAATCCCTTTACCCTTAGATGCGGGTGTTGTAGGAGTCTATAATTACCGTGGAAATAACAGAGGTCAGAACTGACAGTTGAAGACTTAAAGATTCATAATTGTTTTCAACATACCTGATCATCTATGAAAATGAGGTCTGATGGCCATGCAACAAAAGATCCTATTGCATCTCGCAGCAATGTGGTCTCAGCAACAATGTCAGGTACCGGCAGCAACGCATCCATATCTAAAGCAATGTCAACCGATACTTTCATGTGCCCATCCGGAAGCAGTCTATTATGAAGTAAATCTCCCGAACTGTTATGGACTTTTCCCTTGCCAACTAGTCGATAAGTCGGTGACGATAGGTATAGTTGGCAAGATGAAATGCCCTAAACCAATAATAATTGTTAGAAGTGACTAAAAATATTCTATAATAATAACGGATATATATTGAAAATTACCTCGGGAAATTTATGCTGACAGTTGATACTAGCTTTGTCACTAGCTTCTTTCAATTGTGAACTGCTCTTTTCCGCCATATATCTCTCTTTATCCTTCTGCAATTCACGAACTTGAGCTTGTAAATCATGCAATGTTTGCATCACTTCTGCATTGCTAGGATTTCTTATCCTTGGATGCTTATACAAAGAGGTTGGAGTCACACCATGACCTTTACCCCTCACCCGACCCGGATACTCAGCAATATTTAGTGCTCGACTAAGTACGCTCCTGGTATCCTGATGATCCTCACCTGGGGATACCGATTGCGACAAGGTCTCCTGTAATTCAATTACATATAAAAAATTATTAGTGGAGATAAAAAATTACTTAAATATTAATAAACATTAATTGATTTAACTAAAGACACAATCTTATACTTACACATTCATCATACACATGTTGAATATCGGGATTAACAGCTTGATCCTTGCCCACACGGGCTTCCTTCCACAACAAATGTGTCGATAGTGATGTTACGTCACTTTTCGTCTCTTCTAACTACACAATGACGGAAATCTTAAGATCATCAACTATAACACATTGAGATAATTAATAAGATCATAGAGTTTATATTTACTTACAATTTTTTCCTCTAAGCGAGCATATCCCAAACGACCTTTTTTGTATGGATATGCGGGTTTTGACGCTCTCTCGCGATTGATAGCATTCACTTTCTTGAAATTCTCGTCTCTTCTTTGGCCTACAAAACCAACCCATTCTTCAGGTGTAATGAAGTTCTCATATTTCTTTGGACGTTCCGGATCCTCTTCAAGAAAATTTCCTTCATCATCTTTAAGATACTTGTTTGTTAAAAATGTTCTCCACCCTCTGTGTCTTTTTTCAGCCAAACCCATTATATACTTTTTACGGGTATCTTCAATGTTAAAAGACCTCTACAAAAAAACATACGCATAAAGTGTGTTAGTAAAAGAAATTTAAACACATATTATCGTCAAGATAAAGCAAATAACAAAAACCATATATGTACCTTTATCTCAGTCCAAACTTTCTCCTTAGCCTCATCCAACTCTCTTTTCCATCTAGGAGTGGTGATCGGAATGTGTATACGAACAAGCGTACCAATGTA